GCCGGGGTGGGATTTAGAATTACTGAAGCGCGCGTGAGGAACCCGGATGCGGATAGGGATTGTGACAGGCTAGGATTAGGCGTATGGAACACTGGGCGGGCAGGGTGTGAGCTAAGGGGTATATAAGCAGGGTGATTGAAACATCGATAGGTTGGGAAAGTTGAAGAACCAGTCCACAACTACGTTTAGGGTATTGAATCTTTACCTTTTGTCCCTATTCTTAGTCGTGGAGCTTGGGGAACTGCTGCCCGCGAAAACAAGGGGTCGGCACATTTCTCTTTGTTTGATGTTTGTCAATATTGTTGTTTCCACAGTGCACTATTGGAAACATTCAAGGTTTCCCTGTGGAAACATTTCAAACCATTTACCAAACTTTCATACATGTTTCAAAACTTTCAGCAAACTTTGATGGTAAAAGATTTTGAAAACACTCTTTTTTGGGTTTTCATACATGTTTCCAGTTTGTATGAGGATTAGTTTACTTCAAATAATTAAACAAAGGAAAATTTCAAGTGACTTTGAAATTTGGCTTTGAGACCAAGTTAAATTTGGCAGGAGATTTTAAAATCTCCAACCAAATTTTGGTTTCTGAAACCAAACTTTGTAAAATTTTATAACCAATCACCATTGAACAAAATGCCCCAAGGAGAGAATTAATGAGACACTCATTACCTAATTTTTTTTATTTGTGCTTTTCAGTACAAATAAGAATTGAGGACCTTAAAAAATTCTTGGCCAGCTACACTAACAGTAGTGTTAACACAGCATAAATCTGCCAACAGCTGGTAGGTTTTCTGTTAGCTGATAGTTCAGGTGCACTCATGCTTTGCATTTGTGTTGGGATAAATGTATATTTACACTACAACACACCACAATTTATTGGAAAAAACCAATTCAAGTGGTGTTGTGTAACAGTAACACAGTTTACGTCAGCCTTAGAGATCCTCAAGAGTATCCAAAATACTGCTTAACAATATATTACTTGTAATAATAGTGCATTGATAAACGCACTCCCTCCCCCTACCCGCCCGCCCACGCCCCCGCCCCTCCAAAAGGGGCGTGTGATCCCACCCGCCCGTCTCTGACGGCAAACCCGCCCCTCAGAGACGGGCGGGTGGGATTGCACACCAACCACCCGAGAGATCATGGCAGGCTGATGTAAGCAAAACAATCTGGACTGTTTTGCTTACGTCAGCGCGCCGGTGACTCTTTCCTCCCGGCCTTCAAGACCTGTACAAGTCTTGATGGCCGGGAGGAACCCCTCCCAACAATCAAGACTGTACAAGTCTCAATGGCTGGGAGGGATTCCTCCTGGCCATTGAGACTTGTACAGTCTTGATGTCTGGGAGGGATTCTCCTGGTCTTCAAGACTTGTACAGTCTCAAAGACTGGACAGAAGCCCTCCTGGCCATCAAGGCTTGTACCAGTCTTGCTAGCCGGGAGGGATTCCTCCTGGCCCTCCAGACCAGGCCTGCAGGCCAACCCGCCCTTTTTTGGGCGGGTTGTACTGCACACCTCTCTTGTTGCAAATGTCACAAAACGGAGGGGTGTTGTGGTAAGAAAAATCAAACCCCTACCACATAAATAAAAACGCTTTATTACAAATAAATGGTAATTAAAAAATTAGAGGAGAAGGGGTAGATTAGGAAATAAACCACATAAATGTTACTGGGCTAAATTGTAGTTGAATTAAATCATGAACCAGGCCTAAGATATTCAATTTCTCATGGATAAAAATTATACAAATAACCTGTAGAACTATATTACATTCATCTTAGACTAGTAAATCAAGCTACTGATCAGAAATTACTTCATAGACTATCTATAGAGAATAATTTTTATACTAATTAGTCTAAGAATACCATTCTCATAGCAATTAATCTAAGAATAGGCCTCATATAGTAGAAACACAACCTCTTGTATTAGAAGGGCGCTTAAAGATTAATTCATATCAGATGAGGCCGTCTCAGAGTAGTAAAATCCACTCTAGAAGCACCCTTCTCAGACGAACTTGTTTTCAGGCCAAAATCTCATGTACTGCAGAACAATTTGTCTATAAATAGAGGCTCTTCTGGCCCATGTTTTCCTTTTCCCTCCTCATGCTAGCTACAGAATAGTAATCAGAGATATTACTCAGCTTTCATGGCCCTTTGATTTAAGAAATCCAGAGAAATAGTAGAGCCCCTTTGAACTTCCCTTATCCCATATTTTGGCCATAGAAAAGTAATTCAGAAATATTGCTTAGCCATTCTCACCTCTTTGAAAGATATTAGAGAAATAAGTGTACCATTTATCAGAGCCCAGAGAAACCAGAGAGTCTTATTAGATCAGAGAACCAGAGAGAGTTTATAACAGATGTCAGATTTAACAGAGAAACCCTCCAGAGGCCCTTATTACTCAGAAAACCCCACAAACTCCTTACCTCTTCAACAGGTATTCTTAAGCAACAATAATAGTAGTATCAACACTAAAATAAATTTAGAAATAAGCCACACTCTTATTTTTCTCAGTGTAACTTTCCCGCAAGCTAGACAGGAGGGCAGTCTCACCCACACATAGATACTAATTCTACTATTCCATAGTCTGATTAGCTATTTTATCCCCTCCAAGCTCTTTACTCACTTGGTGAGCAGTTCCACAAGTGGTGTCCCAACAGTGGCGGATTTCCACAGACAAATTTAGTCTTTTTGAAAAAAAACTACTACTCCCTTTGCTAGTCTTGTTCAGAATACTTGAACTTTTCCTCAAATCTCACCTTAGATTATTAGAAACCTTACATCAGATCAGAAGAAAATGTCTGAATACACTCCTCTCATCAATGTTGGTAACACTTCCTTTACCCAGCATCAGGAGCCATCCGTAGCCTCTTCTGGAAGTTCCCTTATACATCCTTTGGACACCAGATTAGATATGCCTCAACCCAGTCCTATCACGCCATAAAATCATCATAGGTCTCATCATTTGGTGGCAGAATCCAACACCCATTTCCTAGAAAAAGAGCCGGAAATTCCTAAATACGCAGGACCAACCAATGGATGTAGGGTAGTCAAGATTAAGCCCTTGGACAAAGAAATATTTTTTGATGGAACAAACATACCAATAGAGAAATTTATCAAGTGTTACAAGCGTGCAGGAGAAGCGGATGGAGCTAGCGCTACGGATTTGGCAAAACCAATCATCTCGTTTATAAAAGGAGGCGATCTGAAGGATGAGGTCAAAGAGATGGAAGGATATGAGATGGTCGAATGGGAAGAATTGAAGAAACAATTGTTGGATTGGTTTGGAAAGTCTCTGCCTCTGGTGAAATATACGAAGCAAGACTTGAAGGATTTAGTCAATACCACTGCCAAGTGTTGAGGGTAACACAGGTGACACAAGATCTAAGAGAGATGACAAGATGTCATGGACATGGTCCAGCACATTGAGTCAAGATGTAATTATCATTCGGTAAGGAAGGATAACAGTGAGGGGAACAACTAGACTATATACATGTACAATATAGGCTGAGTTGTGGGTTTATAGATTAGAAGCATACTGCGTAAGGAAATGCTAGTACACTATCTCAACACCAAGAAGGGAGGCATTCGAACTTTGGAGGAGTTTAAGATATTTTGGTCAAAATTTGAATTGATCACTCACTACTTGGTTTGAATGGGATACAACTCTGACTTGGAAGATTTTTGGGAACTGTTGTTGGAAGCTCTTAGTCTGCCACTAGAAACTGCTGTCACTTGCAAGCTTATCCGTGATAACAAGATGCGTGTTTCTAAGGATGGAGGCAATATTCTACCAGTCACCAAGATTATCGTTCAATATATTCAAAGAGAAGTTCAGTCAACCTCGGTGATGGAGCGTAGATCCTTGGGAAGACTTGAACAAACCAAAACAGAGCGAGTTAAGCCAGCCAAAAACCCTGTTCCCAGACCCCCAGCACCAGCACCACCGTCAGAATCCTATGAGAAAAAGATTCAAGATCTCACAAGACAGTTAGCCTCTTTGACGGCAGGAAAGATGGCACCTCCACACCAACCATTGGATGCAAATCTTCCACCCTCAGCTGCTCCAAACAACATACCTTTCAAGAAACCAGACTTCAAATGTTACTACTGCTTCCAGGATACTCACAGTAGCAATAGATGTAGTCTATTTACCTTTGATGAATCTCGAGGACTAGTGAAGCAAGAAGGACGGGATTATCTCTTGCCCGACAACACCAAAATTGCATGGGATACTTGTCAAGCCATTAAAGACAAAGTGGATAAGTTTGAGTGTAACTCTAAGAAAACTACGGCGGCTGTGGTCACTTCCTTGTTTGGAGAACTGGAGGAATGTGAAATTGAAGAACATGCAGCATATGACGTGGACTTAGGGAAGCGAATGCGGTCAGAAAAGGAACTGGAAAAATCTGGAAGTGGAAAGAGGGGAAGAGTTGAGAAGGATGCTGTGATGGATATTGACGCAGAGGATTTAATCAAAAAGGCAACGACTCAAAAATCTGCTCAAGGACCTTCAAAAACAACTACCATACCCGCCAAGGTTAGGTTCAAGGAGAAAAATCAGAGAAAGAAGAAAGAGAAAAACAGGCAAAGAAAACTCACCTGGAGAAAACTTTGGCAAAGGAATATCCAGGAGTTGAAGAAGAAACGGTGAAGCGTATGTTGACGGAGGGAAAAATGACTCTAAGCTATGGAGAAATTTTTTCTATCTTGAATGGAGTTGTGGACGTCTTCAAGAATAAGATTTCAAACAGACGAGTACCTGTGAAAGAAAGTGAAAGCTCCAATCACGCATCACTGGCAAATAATGAAGAGGACAAACTCTCAGTAACGCACTATTCCTGCCCTCTAGGTTATATTAAACATAGTATCAACGGTGCCAACAGCAAAGCCTTATTGGATACTGGTTTGATGGTGAATTTAATGCCGGAGCATATGGCACAAAACCTAGGATTGGTCATAGCCAAGAAACCAATGAACTTGAAAGGAATAGGCGGACACCAAACGGGAATTATTGGAATCACTGAGAGTCAAAGTGGTGATTGGGAAAATAACTAGACCTGTTCACTTTTGGATAGCTAGAGGAGCCATACAATTTATCTTAGGGAAACCGTTTCTTATTGATGCTGCAGCTACAATCAAATACATTGATAATGGCAGAGAATTTTTAGCTATCATGGATAAAAAGGGAAAGACTTATTTAATTCCAATTTTACTACCATGTCATCAGAAATGGGAGACCACCTTAGAAACGCATCTAGTCACGCGGGATTTTTTAGATTAGACCCTGGACAAAGACTGCTTGAAGTAGATAAGGGGCTGGGGAAGATTAGAATTGAGTGTAAAGCTGCAAAGTATAAGTCAACGGCAAAGAAAATTAAACCTATAAACATACCTATGCCAATGTCTATTAATCCACCTCTCTCAAGGCCTGCCTTATCTTGGGACCCTCATTTGACTCCAGTTGTACCAAATCCACCAAAATTTCAGCCTACTGAAAAAATTACAGAAGAAAGATTAAAAATGATTAATTTTGGCTCCCCAAATTGGTTACCAGAAGAAGAAAAGAATTTATTTTGTCATGTCATCACTCTTAGAGCTGGAGCACTAGCTTTCTCAGAAGAAGAGTGCGGACTTTTGAAACATTCTTACGGTAAACCATACGTCCTTCCCGTTATAGCACACAAACCATGGCAACAGAAGCCAATCCCAATCCCAGGACCAATTAAAGAGCAGTTTATCGAATTAGTCAGAGAAAGGCTTAGGACGGGACTTTACGAGCAATCATTTTCCAGTTATTCGAGTCCGGTTTTTTGCATTTAAAAGCAGGATGGAAAATTAAGAATAGTTCATGATCTACAAAAATTAAATAGTGTAACCATCAAAGACTCCGGATTACCACCATCACCAGAAGAATTAGTTCAATCTTTCACTGGTAGAGCCTGTTATGGTTTAGGAGATATAATGGGAGGATATGATGAACAAGAATTAGCCCCGGAATTGAGACCTTTAACTACTTTTGAGACCCCTCTAGGAAGATTTCAACTTACCAGATTGCCTCAAGGTGCCACTAACTTGGTTGCTGTGTACCAAGCTCAAATGACGTGGATCCTGCAAGATAAAATACCTAAAAACGTAGGAATATTCATCGATGATGGAGGAATAAAAGGTCCAGAATCTGAATACGGAGGAGAGACGCTGAAAGAGAATCCGGGAATCCGTCAATTTGTCTACAAATATGCTATTACACTGGAGAGGGTTTTATTTAGAATTGAAGAAGCAGGACTCACTATTTCTGCAAAGAAATTTGTGTGTTGTGTTCCGGCACTAGATTTGGTTGGTCATGCTGTTTGTAATGAAGGTAGAAGAGTGTTGAAAAAGAAGTTGAATAAGATCAAAACTTGGCTAACTCCACAAAACCCAACCAATGTCAGAGGTTTCTTGGGGGTTTGCGTTTACGTTCAAATGTTCATCAAAAACTTTTCTAATATAGCAGCCCCTCTCAGAAAACTTATGTGGAAAGACGCTAAATGGGACTGGACAGAGGAATTTCAAAAATCCATTGAGCAACTCAAGAAGATTGTAGGTGTGGAAATCACATTAAAAAAAATTGGATTACAGTGAAAACGCAGGAAAAATCAGATTATCTGTTGATTCAAGTAAGATTGCCGCAGGGGCCGTCATCAGTCAAGAAGATTCAAAAGGCAGGGATAGGCAGGTTCTCTATGAATCTGTAGTATTCTCACGGCAAGAATCAAGCTATTCACAGTCAAAACTAGAATTATGTGGTGTAACTAAAGTCCTAAAAAAATTACAAACTGTTTTATGGGGTCAGCATTTTGAATTAAGAGTGGATGCAAAATGTCTTATTGGCATGATCAACAACCCATCCTTACCTAATGCTCCAATGAATTGCTGGATCACCTAATTTATTCAACTATTTTCATTTGATCTAATTCACGTAAAAGACCAATATCACACACTACTGACAGGCTTATGTTTCAGTTACTTCCATATAATAATCCATCATGAAAAGTCCATTTGCCCTGCAGTTGAGGTCATTTTTTATGTTTTGACAAGGGCATAGCCCCCATTTTTGGGGTCAGAGGGGGGTTTTAAATGAAAGGAAGAACAGCATTGGATTAATTAGGTTACTTGAGAGATTTTCTGGTGATAAAAGGCACATCAATTAGCAGAATGATGATAAAGATGGCCTCAAAAAGATCAGTGCAATATGTGAAACATAATTGAAAAAACAGTATTGGATTCTTTCATGATCAAGGCCTTTGAAGATATTGAAGAAACTTGTATAAATATTAAAATTGCAAAAAGAAATTGTATGATACATTCATAGTAATAAAATAGCTCCTATATCTCAGTCCTCCATCCAATGTTCCTCCTAGATCTCAGTCCTCCATCCAATGCATGAAACCCCACAAATATCAACTAATTTTGAGGTATAGTAGAAGTCTCCAAGTCACTATGTAGATTTTTTTGTGCTAAAGCTTCAATCAAAGAGCTTAAAAATTGTAGCTCTACTAAGAGTCCACTGATTCTAAATTAACACTATTAATGACCAAGTGGTATGGTGAAATGCAGCACCCCAGTTTTGATCTGAGTTCTACTTTTGGATGTAAGATTGTTTTGATGTGTTGTGTCATTTTTGCAATTTGGATACTCTTGAGATTATTCTATGAAACTCTGATTTATTCCAGCATAGCACACCACAAAATCAACTTTATGCATAGGAGCTGTGTATTTAAGCATTTGCAATAATATCATTAGCTCTTTTTTGAGGTTTTTTTGTATAGCTCTATTGTATGGATGTGTACCTCTCCAAATAGTTGTTATGTATTTGCACCTGAGTGACATCATAAGGTGGGTATTCCAAAATTTTACATCATAAATTGCCCCCTTAGTTATAGATGAACCCCCATCTGCGCCAAAAGTTCAGAGCCCTGGGGGTCACACATTATAAATTTAATGGTTTATGACATATAACGGGCTGTCCAAATGGGTCCGGAAGAATTTACCTTCAAGAAAACATATACCAAACTTCAAGAAAACATATACCAAACTGGAAGCAGCCAAAATGTGGGTTACTCCCAATGTAGCTTGTCTTATAACTACAACAAAAAAATAAAGTAACAATTTATGCACAGTTACTGTGAAATGTGCACATTGTCAGCATTGGATTTTTTTGAATTAAATTTTGAGTGATCTCTGAGGAAGAAACCAAGTTTAAGCATTGATTCTGAATTAAAAAACTCAAGTATTCAATTGAAACAATTACCTTGATTAGAATTTTTTATACTTCCCATTTTTGACCAAGGTATTACTGGAATTTTTGAAAAACTGAACAGGTATTGTAAACATTTATTTTGCATCAGGTTACACTTGCCATGTTTTGTCCTTGAATCAGAGAAGATATATAGGGTTAGAATATAAATTAAGGATAAATTAAGGGGGAGAAATTCTTTTGAAATGATCCATGCTATTTTCAGGAATGAATCCAAATGTAGATTTTGATCCTATCTCAAAATGAAATTTTGTCTATGCTTATTTGGTCACAGCAGATTTATTAATGTCAATGTGGCATGATGGAAGCAAAAATTGCATCCAGATTTAAATCCAAACAATTTACAATGAGAAGTTGGAACTCAGTCTTTGATGAAGAAATCAAACTCAAAAGCTTCATTAGAATACCATACAAATCACAAATCTGGATTGAGGATTGATGCCAAGGTTGGATATTCTGACACTCTGTTTGAGGCTCATGTAGATTGGAAAATATGTTATACAGATGGTACTTTGAAATTTTACTGCCATTCAATCAGCATTTGATACATTAGCAAAACTTTCTCCAGTTTCAAAACTGAAAAAATGTTTTACTTTATATGGCAGCTTTTGATCCCCTTGGAACATGAGCTAATGGCAAGCAGAGGAAAATTCCAATGTGAAAGGGAATGTGCAGATTTTACATTGCATGATACTTCAAATTTGAATGAGTACAGCCTGTCCAACGCTGCCACAGCTACGATACACTGTGTGTATCATGGAGAATTCTGCAAAGCTGCATGGCCAAAAACCAAATTTGTTGAATCTCCTTGCAAATAAAAGCAGATTGGTCAGATAGTTTTTTTTTATTGGGGCTCAGATACATAGTGATACATGGCAGATACGGGCAGATACCGTATCTGTGACAGCGTTGGCCTGTCTTACTTGTAGATTTTACCACCTCTTTCAGTATCTTCAAATTTTTCTGATGCTTTTAATAATGTTTGCTACAATTATTTTCAATATCACTTGAATTGATTCATGATGACAATGTTATTTGATGTTTTTGGCTTGTTTAAGAATGTTTTGATGTTATTTGATGTTATTGGCTTTTTTAAACAAAAAGGATGATTTTCAGAAAAAAGTTGCTTTTTGAGTAGGATTTGACATTAATCTAAATCAGGGAGGCCAAGTTGTGATTGGTTGTAGGCCAAGAGGATGCTTGATAGCTCAGCAAACCAGAGGTTCATTAATTTTGGTGAGGCTCAGCGAGGTTGGAGTGAATTCAGATTGGATCAAAGCAATCGATCAAAGCGATCTGAAAGCGATGGCCTGTGTGACAATCAGCCCTTCACTTGCTGGGTGAATGGCCAGTTCACTCTCCAACATCGACGCCGGCGTTAGAAGCCGCATGAGAATGCAATAGAAAGCTGAATTGAAGGCCGGCGTCGACTCTAGAAAACTTGACGGTTTGTTTGGCCCTCTGAGGCTATTCTTTTAGTTATATGTAGATGTTGTTAATTTTTAATCCAATTACATCACTCCTTTCAGAGAGTTCAAGGCCATAGCCATTTCACTTTCATTCACAAGACTAAAACTTGATATCAGGAGCCATATGGTTCATTTAGCCCTCACCCCACATCAATTTGTTTATGATCAAAAATTTTAATAAAAAATATATTATTCATATGAAAATAAATCTCAAATTAATCAGGGTCACAGAATATTTAATCTTTCTTGACCTGCACTGTTATTAGAGACGGGCGGTTGGGATTGCACACCCCTTTTGGAGGGGCGGGGGCGTGGGTGGGCGGGCAGGGGGGAGGAGTGTGTTCATCAACGCACCATGTTCAATCAACATTCAATCATCATTCAGCAAGGAAAGAGAACCAGAAGGAAAACAACTAGACTATATACATATGCATTATAGGCTAAGTTGTGGGTGCATAATTTAGAAGCATAACATATCAGAGAGATGCTACTTTACTATCTCAACAAGCTTCACGTTGTTTTTCCAACTGGAAGCTGCTAACAAGCTTTTGCAATACCAAAATCATGGAGAAATCAAGATTATGTAAATCTTTGATCTTGTTCACTCATGACAGGGCCCAGAATTGGTATGTAATGCATCAGCCAAAAAAAATAAAGATCTGATATAATAATCAAATTTGAAGAGCCTCATCAATCCTTCTGATCAAACTGTAAATCATGCTAGGAGACACTTTGTCATTCCCTCATCTTCTGCTTCTGTGCTGTTATCCCAGGTTGTTTCATAGGTTGGGCTATTGCAGTTTTCTGAAGCACAGCTCTTCTCAGAATGTCCACTTGGGTACCCTGTACATGGTCTGCTAAACCCACCGTGATTGTCATCATTAGGTCTTATAAAATATCTCTTTTGTTTTGTCAGATTTTCTCATTGATCCGTTCCATAGAAATTACATATTGCCAATTGCTGGAAATTGTTCAAAAAAAAATCTCGCAATGAGTCTGCATTGGCTGAGTGAAGGAGATGCATCAGTGAGCATGGTGGAAGCTTGTAATTGTCTCTTGGAAAGCAGAGAGATGAAATGTGAACTCTTGCAAGGAGGATCCAAGGTTCATTAGACAAAAACAGAGTGATTTAAAGAGACGGGAACAAAATACAAGGAAGAGAGATGAAAAATAGAGAAAGAAGATCGAGTGAATCAATGATTGTCAGGAGCAGGGTCATCGGGGACAAATTTCCTCTTTTTTTCGTTGAGTTTCTTGGTCAAGACCGGGTTGGCTCTGGATTCCTCAGCCGGAGGCTGATCCTGCGCCTTGTTGAGTTTCCTCAAGTTACTGACGATTTCTCTACCTTCGGCTTTCTTCGATTCATCTGCTCGTTCACTCTTTGTCCGCGCTTTCTTCTTGAAATATTCGCCTGATTCTAGCTCCAAGTCGATCTATACATGCATTTTTGGAGTCCGTTGAGAGGAGGTAATTTCATAAGGTCAGAACAGCACGGAAGATCCTCGAAAACCATAATCGGCTTGATTGTTAGTTAGCGCTTACCTTTCTAGGCATTTGAGGAGGAGGGAATGGGGTATATTTCTTCTTCTTCTTCTCTTGCATTGATTTTTGTTTGGCTTGCTCTGATCGGAACGCCGCAGCTTGGGATGTATCTTGGACTGATCGCCCAACGCTTGGCTGCTGCTCAGACACTTTGGCTGCCTTGGCTTGCTTCGCTCGTTTTCTCTTCGTGAAATTTGGTAGAAATCGGTCCCAATTCTCTTCAGCTAACTTGGGATTTTTGGCTAACTCTCGTTTGATCATTAATTCCTGGTGCGGTGGTTTAAAAAAATAACAGTGAAATTAATTCCATGGGTACCGCTTGTGTTGACAATCGAGAAGTTTGTTGATTCATTTTTTTCTAGCTTACTTTGATATGGTAAATCGGATGTATGTTTTTCATACAATCTATCACGATCCGTCGGACGACTTTCAGCCCTTTGTAAGGACCCATAGCGGAGACTGTGGTACCTTGAACCAACAGATAACAATCTGTTAAAAGTTCGATTGCCTACATTCAAGAAACTATTTTTAGCTCAATTGTCCTTTGCAGTACTAGATGTCTAAGGATCTGGGATTGGTGGAGTCGAAAATAAGAACCTTGAGCGTGCTGCCCGATGGCCCCAATATTCGCTGTCGTCGTTTGACAAATCTTTCTTTATTTCGAATCACATTTCCGATCTTGATCACATCACAAGCGACATTATCATCCAAAATCTTGACAGCCTGTGAGAAATTGAATGAGAAAGTTGGTTCGATGAGATCGGAAATCGATGGATGGATCAGAATACCTACGTACCTGAGTAATTGGGACACTCCTTGCTAGTAGTTTGATCAGATCTCGAGCTTTGAGTATGATGTATGGATCGACGGTTTTTCGGGTAGTTTTCACGGTCATTGATCCCTCTACCAAATTCAATACGCATGCCACGCCCTAGATGATGGGAGATGACATAATTCTTGAATAATCAGTGGAATGTTGGCAGCGATAGGAGAGATAATCAATACTGACATGTTGTTCCAAGACTTTAGTCAAATGACTCCAGATCTCCTTCAGATACACCTCACGATACTTTGGAAATAGGGTCGCAAAACTAGATTCCTCGGTCAATGGTTTGATTTTCTCTTTCTCTAATTCGAATGGTTCGATCTTCCAATGGTCGATATCATCTGTATCCCATGGCTTCTCTTTCCGGTGCTTCTGCTTCTTTGATTTCTGAATCTCATTAACTTCTTCATTGATATTCGAGGTTGTGATATCTGAATGGGTGAGAAGTTATTGTGGTGTTAGTAGGATGCGGGGTAGTTTGAACCTACGTGGATTGCATGCTTACCCTGGACTGGTTTAGCAATCGCCATGATATGATGAGTAGTTGGTTCCTCGCCGGTGGGTCGTCCAGTGAAGCCTTGGGAGAGTTTTCTGCCCTCCAGAAGTCAGAAACTGCAAATTGAATATTCAAAACGACTCAAAAGCAAACAAGCCCCCTGCAAGCTCAAAGATTTAATATTATTCATCTGTTTGATCATCAGGTTTGGTCCCAGTGCCGCCTCCCTTCAACAAAACATACAGTTGTAAGAGGAGTCGTATGCTTATCTGGCACGTTATTTTTTGTTAATTGCCTACATCTTGATAGAAGGGGAAAAGAAATGTGAAATTTGATTCCGAGCATCCCAGCAGCCATTTTGTGGCCACCACCTTTAATGTCAGCCTAGCTGAGAAGAGCTCCTTCGACCTCGGAGTCCTAACACCAACGGTGAAACAGATCCGATCCAATGTGGTATCGGCCGATTTATCGGATCGGATCGATTTTTTGATACCAGGTATTGAAAAATAAGGGATTGGATCGCTAAGGGTGATCCGATCCCATGGTATCGGATCGGGATTGGGATCGCATTGCAATCCCGATCCGGCACCCAAATGCTGCGGGCTGTATGCCTTACACTTGGGTATCATCCAAACTGTAAGCAATCCGATCCCCGGTGTGGTAAGCCAATCCTGAACCTCAAGGCACAGCAAGACTACATATCACACAAGAATCACAGACTCAAGGCCCCTCAAGAGTTTACCCAGGCCCTCAAACAAAGGTAACACACCAATAACCCTCACAAGTATCCCCCTCATGGATAATAACATCTCCCACACCTCTGAAACTCCTCAGATGAAAACCAAGACCAAATTCCTAGTTCATTATTGATAAGACTTAGCTCACACACCAGCTACACACTAGTACCCCTTCTCAATATAACCTCAAACCCCTCTAAAATATATTCCTTATCTCTTATCTCCTTCCACCTTATGCCAAGAATTACCACTCAACAGCCATGTTTCATACTAGCCCTCTTTTGGCCCTTTCTGCCCATTGTCTGTTCAATCCCCATCTGGGTGAAATAATTACCCCCACCTCTTCCCCTTGATAAGATTATCCAAGCCTCTCTCTGTTTCAGAATGAATTCATTACCTTATCTTAGCTTGGCCCTTTCTTTGGTTTCAGTCTAGTCTTATCTTATCTTAGTGCCACACTAAATTAGGCCACATTGTTCATAGTTACAATTTCCTTCCTTGTTCATTCTTTGTTCCATTTTGTTTCATCCATCTTCCAACCACAAATTGGCCAATCCCCAGAATCTTGTATATAAGGATCTTTGTCTTTCCTCTTCCTTTGTTCCACATCAGATCCTGCCCCAGCAATTCAGATAACTGATCACCCATTATTAGCCAGGTATTTGCCCATCAACATTTGGGATACCTTGATTTGTGACAAATTTATTTAGACTAGTAAACATAAGAAATATTAGACATACCATCCTCAAGAAATCTCCACAGCCACACCTTTTTCCTTAAGAGTCCATACTCTTATATTTTCTTGTTATCAGAGAGGCAGCCCAATAAAGCACTCATCCCTCTCAAGCTCTATTCCTCCCAAGAGTAGTTCCACAAGTGGTGTCCCAACAGTGGCCCAACAGATCTTTGGTTTTCAGTCACTACCACTCACAGTTTCCATGCTAAATATACAGTCACAGATTAGCTAGTTACTACCAACCCTATTTTAATTTAGAATTTATTTACCTTATTATCCCCCTGCAGAAATCTTCATTGGTAAATCTGCATTAACAACATAGAATTAGATCAACAGCAAAGTTATCATAACAGTAGAAAACTTAACAACTCCCTCAACCCCATCAAGAAGAAAATCAAACCCCAGAACCCCCATCACAACAAACATGGCCAATCACCCTGGAGGAAGAAGAAAGATAGTCAAAATCAAACCCTTGGACAGGAACCTTGGTTATGATGGTTCCAACATGCCTATAGAAGAATTCATCAGCAAATATGAAGAAGCTGCAGAAACTGTTGGAGCAAGCTCTCAAGATTTGGCCAGCCAGATATTGTTCTTTATCAGAGGACCAGACCTGCAAGATGAAGTGGAAGAAATGCATGGATATGAAGAATGCAATTGGGTCAACTTGAAGGAAGAATTAACGTATAGATTTGGAATTACTCTCACCCTGGAAGAATGTGCTAGAGAGGAATTGGTAGATCTGGTCAGCTATGTTGCAAACATGGGTGGCATCAGCACTCCAGAACCATTCAGACAATTCATATTACAATTTGAACACATTGCTCACTACCTAATTGAAAATGGATACAATTCCTCCATGGATGAATTTGCAAAATTATTTTGGCAATCTCTCAGCCCAGAATTGGAAAGAGCAATATCTGATCCACTTATCTGGGATGGTCACTTGGTTTTGGATGGAAACTTTCACATTGGAGAACTACCACCCTATAGTATAATTCTGGAATATATTTATATGGAGTTTGAACAAATGGATTTTCTTCAAGAAGAACCTGATCAACCTGCACCAGAAATTGGACAAACAGATCAGAATTTCCATACAGTAGCCCACATGGAAGAATATAACTCAGGAATCCAGTCACCACTTACACAAAAACTCCCCCCAGCACTTTCTTCAACCTTGGATACCTTCCCCCTGACCTTACAAAATGGCCAATCCCCTGGAAACCTTGGAACCCTTGGACAACACAGAGACAAAACAATTTGGATCAGAAACAGAAGTCATTTCAGCAAAAATTCCCTCAGAAATATCCTTACCATGTGCCATGCTTGAAGAAAACTGCTCCCCAGTAGCACCTGTAACCTTGGAGTTTCCCCCCCAGATCCTTGAAACTTGCCAGAAGTTGGACCCCTTGGATAAAGATCAAACAGAATATCTTGGGTTAGAAAGTGAGATCTGTGCAGAAAATATAATTACACAAGAGAACTTACCAATAGGACCAGTCAGCTTGGAATCTTCCCCTCAGCTCATTGCTAATGGCCAACCAATGGCAACTTTGGAACCCTGGAGCAATACTGAAACAGAATACCTTGGATCAGAAAGTGAAGTTTGTGCAGGAATCATATTTTCAGAAGAGGACTTACCAGTAGGAAAATTTGAAGAGACCCCAGATAATCCTATTCCTGAAACAAAAAACTCCCTGAAGATACTGGTAGAAGAGGAAAATGAGGAAATAGTTAGCCAGAGTATAAAACCAGAGGATGAATCAGCCTTGGAATCAGTACAGTCAATTCAGTCCCCCACAACAAACCCAACAATGTTTGTACCTGAAGGAATTGGAACCCCAGAGACTTCAGATATTGCACCAAACTCACATCCAGAATCCTTTCTTCAGACAAAATTAATTTCCTTGGAGACCCATGTGACAGGACCTCTCCTCAAAAATGAAAAAGCTCAAACTTTCATCCTGGAACCAGTTTTTATTTCCCCCAGCCATGGATTTAAATTACTCTCATTGGATGAAATAGAACAAGGAGTTTCATATACAGAGAACTTGCAAGCCATATTCCCAAAGGAACCTGGTAAATCCATAGAAAAAACATTTGAATCAGCTGTTTTTAGAAAAAATCCACCAGATTGCTTGTCACTTCCAACTCACCAAGTAACCCAGCATCAAAAATTGGAGCCCTCTAAACCTCTTCATATTTTGCCATTGCAGGTGTTTCAAACCCCATCCAGGAAGAAGTCTACAGTAAATCGGAAAAGAAAGAAGACAAGAGTTAGACTTGGTAGATATAGTTCAGTATCCAGAAGCGATCAGTTGCGATTAACATGTCAAAAAAAGCAAGAGGGATTTACCATTCAAATCGCCGAACTACAGATTAAGAAGTTTATATTGGGATCACAGCGGAGCAAGGAAGCCTATAGCAAAAACTCTTTTGGTTCGCTTCAACAACCAGTCAAGAAAAGTAGCCAACATGAGCTTTGCATATCAGATGCTTGAGGTTTGGAGAGGAGCGAGGAAGGCAGAATGCACACCAGCTACGGATCATTGCAACTATCAAATTTGGAAGCGGATGGTGGTTCGGTTGGGTTGTAATGCTTCCAAAAATACAGTTCAGTTGATGGATAGAACGGCCCAGAAAGACCGATCAGACTTGCTGAATTATAGCTCAAGAAGTATGAATTCCAGTCGGACTTACACAAGGAGTCATCAAGCTGAAGGGCTTCATGTCTGTTCAAAGAATCAAGAGATCAAGGTGACAAGCAAGCAATCGATTTCATCAGTAAATATTTCACAGGTGGTTGGGGATAGATTTCAGTCAAGCAAGAGCGGGGGAAGAACCATTCATAACTTAACTTTTTCAGTATACGAAGCAGAAGTGTTCCACCGAGCTCAAAGGGAAAGCAGGAAATCAAGAGCTGCATTGACTTTAGATCGCCTGGAGTATCAGGGAAGTAGAATGCAATCAGTCTTTCCGGGGTATATGTCATCAAACAAAAGCAACAAAATATCAAGATACAGGTTAAATCTATCAACATATGAGGTCAAAGTGTTCTATCGTGATCGGAGCAGCAGGGGGAGGCCAACATATGGCAAGACTGTAGTTTGCTTGAAGTATAAAGCAAGAACATCAGCGAATGAACCATTGATTTTGCCAATAATTAGATGCAAAAGGAGACCGAGTGATGGTGGAAAGCTGAACCATGCTGGGGCTTTGAAGCATTCAGAGACAAAAAGAAGAGATACCAACAAGGACCGATCAGTATTGCCACCTAGCAACTTGCAGAGATTCCTTAGAAGTTGTATAGCACATAAATCAAGCAGAAAGACTTACAAAGGATCGTTCGGTATATCGTTTGACCCAGGAATTGACCCAGCTTTATATTTTTCTGAGCAATTCAAGCGAGCCCTTTTAGGCGCTTCTGCAGGCCAACTACACAAGGATTTGATCAAGATGGAACCGACCAAATCAAAACATGTTCCAAACCAGTCTCGATGGCTGCTACATCGAGGAATTCAGAGGAGTCCGACTGTTCGGATGTACCTCTATCGATGATAAGAAACAAGAAAACCGGTGGCTTGTTCTCATGGAATCATGCGGAGGAGGCTTCCAACTTGTCTGATTGCCACCTCATCACCAAATCTCAACCTCAATACTGGTCATGGAAACAGGGGATCTCAACTAGATGATAGCAAGGCCTGTTTCAATCTGGATTCAATTTCAATTCTCTTGCAGGTAGCACCTAGTAGCATTAGTACAGTACACACATATACTGAATCCCAAAACCAAACACAAGAACAATGGATGAATACTCTTAGTATGGAACAAGAAAAAGGGTAATGTAGCATGCTAAATTAGTCAAAAAAAAAAAAAAAAAAAAAAAAAGGAGGAAGGAAAGAGAAATCCTGAAAAGAAATCTGTTTCAAGTGTGTTGAATCCTGAATCACACCTTGAAACTTCAAAACTTGGTGGACACCCTTTTCTATTTGCCAAGAAAGTTTCTCCCTACCCATTAAAAAAAATATTCCTCACCTCCCTATACTGAATAATCCAAGACCCTGTCCATCTCTAATTTGGGGGTGGTTGAAACCCATATTTATTCATTCTCAGCTGCACAGTTTCATATTCTTCACTTCCAACACAATTTAACTAATTTTTTCCTGGGCAACATGAAGAATACAGATATCAGAACCTCTCATGAGTACTTTATGAATCAAAATAAACTGAAATTATAAAAAAAATCATTGCATAAGATAAAAGTACAAAAATAATTCCTCTACACCTATAATAAAACCATAGTTTTTTTTTCTTTCCTTTTCAATATTGCTAATTATCATGTTATGACCAGTTTTTTTTCTCTGTCTAGGATATATTTTCAGTTTTATCAGGATTGTCTTTCTCTTTTTTTTCTGTTTTCTTGGATGATGGGGACATCATCTAATTTGGGGGTGGATGTGGTAAGCCAATCCTGAACCTCAAGGCACAGCAAGACTACATATCACACAAGAATCACAGACTCAAGGCCCCTCAAGAGTTTACCCAGGCCCTCAAACAAAGGTAACACACCAATAACCCTCACAAGTATCCCCCTCATGGATAATAACATCTCCCACACCTCTGAAACTCCTCAGATGAAAACCAAGACCAAATTCCTAGTTCATTATTGATAAGACTTAGCTCACACACCAGCTACACACTAGTACCCCTTCTCAATATAACCTCAAACCCCTCTAAAATATATTCCTTATCTCTTATCTCCTTCCACCTTATGCCAAGAATTACCACTCAACAGCCATGTTTCATACTAGCCCTCTTTTGGCCCTTTCTGCCCATTGTCTGTTCAATCCCCATCTGGGTGAAATAATTACCCCCACCTCTTCCCCTTGATAAGATTATCCAAGCCTCTCTCTGTTTCAGAATGAATTCATTACCTTATCTTAGCTTGGCCCTTTCTTTGGTTTCAGTCTAGTCTTATCTTATCTTAGTGCCACACTAAATTAGGCCACATTGTTCATAGTTACAATTTCCTTCCTTGTTCATTCTTTGTTCCATTTTGTTTCATCCATCTTCCAACCACAAATTGGCCAATCCCCAGAATCTTGTATATAAGGATCTTTGTCTTTCCTCTTCCTTTGTTCCACATCAGATCCTGCCCCAGCAATTCAGATAACTGATCACCCATTATTAGCCAGGTATTTGCCCATCAACATTTGGGATACCTTGATTTGTGACAAATTTATTTAGACTAGTAAACATAAGAAATATTAGACATACCATCCTCAAGAAATCTCCACAGCCACACCTTTTTCCTTAAGAGTCCATACTCTTATATTTTCTTGTTATCAGAGAGGCAGCCCAATAAAGCACTCATCCCTCTCAAGCTCTATTCCTCCCAAGAGTAGTTCCACACCGGATGGTATTTATCGGGGATCGGATCAAAAATGGACCCAATACCAGGATTGGTATCGGATTGCCCCACCCGATCCCAGTTGTCCAATACATTGGGATTGGATTGGGTGGAGCAATCAAATACCGATACCCGGTATCGGGTACATTTCAGATCCGATCCCCGATAAATACCGATCCAGGGATCGGATCTGTTACATCCTTGCTAACACCACACATCTCTAGTCTCAAATGGGCTTGATGGAACCGTGTCTTCGCTCAATCCAAACAAACACACTGGGACACCTCCTTCATTCAAGCAAATCAGATGCATCAAGACACTCTCTGTTAGCAGTGTTACCAAACTGGCATCTAACCCAATTGAGTCAAGTTGACATGAAATGCTAATCAACCAGTATTGATACTCTTCTTAGTGATACCCTACAATCTAAGGCAATTGAATCTAGATAATAGATTCATTTTGGACAAGGAAGGAGTTAGAAAAAGAAATGAAAGATCAGAACAAAGAAGACTTTTTTTTCTGTATTTTTTGTATTTTTTGAAGCCAGGTGAGAAAATGAAAATATATGATACCAGAAAGTGCAGATCTATTTTTAAAGAGAAAAATACCATTGGCCACCAATACTAAAAATATGACAAAGCAGAAAATATGGATAGATAGAGAGATGACAGCCAAGAGAAAGAATAAGTATTTAGGAAAATGATTTAAGGAGTTAAGGAGTCCCATAAACTTTCTAATACTATTCTACTTCAGTTGTCTATTCAATTTATAATCTGTTTATTTGTAATCCTTTTCAGTTTGTGTTGCCCTTTTATTTTTTTGTTAAATTCAAAATCAAATGATATCTAGTCTTCCTCATCTTCATAATAACACACAACCTTATATCCCTCTGGTACAGGTTCTCCCCTATGGGTTGGGTAACTTGACAAGCTTCGTTGTTTTGGTTGAGACCCAAAGAAGTTCCAATAGCCTGAGTAAGATACACCTTCAGATTGTGGGTACCCGGGTGCACCATACATAGGAATAGGACCATGCATGGGTGGTCCACCATACCCAGGTTGTGGACCATAGGATCCATGTCCATATTGTGGGTGTCCGGGTGCCCCATGCATGGGTGGTCCACCATACCCAGGTTGTGGGCCATAGCCATATCCACCATACCCAGGTTGTTGTCCATAGCCATACCCAGGTGGTGGTCCATATCCATACCCAGGTGGTGGTCCATTTCCACCAAGGTTGGCTGGCATTGTGGCATGCCTAGACTGTGGTGCTTGGTGGGAAGATTGACTGATGGATGGTTTTTTTTCTTCAGAAGAAGATTCCACAGTTTTCACGGGGCATTCTGGACAATCTTTCTTGTTTGCCAGAATGAGTTTATCAACACAGTAGTGGTGGAAAAGGTGGTCACATGGCCAAATTATTGATTTTTCAACTTTCTTCACCTTTCCCCCACAGAGTTGACAAGAACCAATACTCTTCTAAAAATATTCATGAACCAAAAATTTAAATGTTGTGAGTGCTTTTCGCTGGAATTATGTGAAAAAAATGATAACTTACTGCACGTTTGGAGTGGCGATGTAAAGTATTTGGTCTGGAAATTGGCACTGTGTAACTTGAAGATATCACTGAAGGAGAAGCAGATATTCCTTGTGGATTTGATGACTGATTTAATTTATCTACTTTTCCCGCAAGATCAACAGATGTTCCAGCAGTTGATTGATAAACTGCTTGAAGAAGCTTCAAAAAATAAAAAAGCACAAAGTGTTAGATTAATTATAGTCACTTGTTTGAAAAGATGACCTCCCATCATTAAATCTGAAGCCCTTGCAGATGTTGGTTTGGAACTGCAAGGGAAAGCTTTTGTGATAAACTCTAGCCCTCGCAGCTCTAAACCAATTTGGCAGGCTTCTCAAATGATGATGGGAAGTCATCCATTAATAGGAACAGAAAAAATGAAAGGAAAAAGCTTCACAAGAAAAATTGTTGTATTGAGAAACATGGCAAGAATTTCTACCACAGATATTTCTGGATATTTGCCTGAAAGATTGGGTGGAGATTGTGACAAAAAACCAAAATCCTTCATGCCTATTTATAGTCAAAATTTCTGCTTTCAAGTGATTCCTGCATCAAAAGCTGATCAAAACTTGTTTGTGAAAACTTTTGCTTGGCTGTCTCTGCTGTCAAATATCTGTCAATGATGACACTGTGTCAAGATTACAAAACTTGTTTGAGAAAAATTTTCCTTGACTGAATCTGCTGTCAAATAGCTGCCAATGATGAATCTGGGTCAAAATAAAAATGTGGGGCTTGTATTGTACTGGCCAAAGAACATCATGGTAGCTCTCTTTCATTGACTAACCCCAGTTTTTCATTAGTGATTGAATAAATCAGTTTCAGAAAAGGTTGGAAAAATAGGTGCAATTGTGAACCCCGCCATCTTCAATATTAGGTAATTTTAAAGTTTTTAAATCCATGCTTCAGATTTCACTGTAAATTAACTTTAGCATTAAGGTGTATCAAATATAATAAATACACCATTAGAGACCATTCAATTATCCAAAAGAAATGCCCAATGAGTGTCCAGAGAGGGAGGATGAAGAACCAACATGTCAAAACAATAGTGGGTTTTTCAAAATCAAGCCTTGCTTCAGATATCATGACTGTATGCATGGTAACTTGAACCTTACACAAATTTTTACTCAAGAACATTGGCACACCTATCTTTATAAATCCCCTCTGTATTTGTGCTCAAGACAAGGGACTTAGTTAGAGGCACAAATATTCCTCAGCCTAATTTGGGTTAATTTTAAAGTTACTGTACATATGTTACAGGTGATCACTGATATCTGAGGCAGGTCTTAGGAAAGTGTACAATTACCCTAAAATAGAAAATAGGGGTGTTCACCACTTAAACTTTCTTGATTCTTAGTACAATATATTTCTCTTCTGGATCACTGAAATTTAAGCTTCAAGGTATTGAACTCAGCACTATAACTCACCTAAGATAATCAACTCCCTCACTTGCTACAGTTTTCCAATGTGATCGATCTGAACTAGACAATCAAGTTTGTTTATCCCTGATGACAACATTTTGATACGTTTTGAGTGAAAGAAAAACTATCAGTATCATAAGCAATCCTGGGTTTCACAGTAGTTGATTCTGGGAAATTTCAATTGTGAGCCTCACTTTTCAAATAGGTTTCAACATTGGTTTTGTGTCAAAAGTACATAGTAGTGCAGAGGCTTGTATGTACTGGCCAAAGGAAAATGTTTTCCCCACTCTGTCAGATTTCATGTAATGTTCAAGTCACAGTACAAATTCACATGAACCAGGAGACTGCCTGTTGAGAACAGTATCCAAAAAAATATTTTTTATTTGTGAAATTCATTCATTTTTTGAGCCCATTCATAAACATATAAAATTCATGTGTAGAGCCAGCACTTCTTGAAAAGTAAAATCTAAGAATTCAGTGTGCATATCATATTGTCAAGAGCTGTAAATTGAAAATACTCATACATTTTATTGCATAATTTTTTTTCTGTCTGAGAAAAAAAAATCATTTTTGTATGTACCATTTTTTTCTTCTGCATGTAGGCAAGAATTGAGATTTTTTGGGAAGAAAAAAAATCTGCCAGAATGTGTACTGCAGCCAGTTAAAGAGTTCTGGGTTGGACATGGGTACCAGCTGTTTTTTAGCCAAAAACTGGCACCAGTTACTGCACCGGTCAGCACCATCTGGCTGGTACCAGAGGTACTTTGGGTGGGTACCAGCAACGGTGGTCCAGTTACACTAATTGTAGTGTTAGTGAAGCATAGTGTTGAATTTTCAAGCTTCACTACAAAAAACTTACTGTTAGCCAAAAATTTGGCCCACTAACTAACACTGCAGATTTTTTGAAAAAAAAAAAAAAAAAAAAAAAAACTTTAGTGTAGTGTTAGCTGAGTTGAAAAAATTCCAACTAACACTAACCAAAACCCTTGTTAGCACAATTGTAGTGGTGTTAGTGGTTGAAAACACTACACTACAGACCAGCGTAACTTTTTGATGAGTTACACTAACAGTTAGCGTAGTGGTTCCCTCGGTTACACTAACAGTTAGTTTAACTGATCCAAAAGTTACCCTAACTGTTAGTGTAACTGAATATGTAGTTACATGGACACATTACTAGCGCTAGTCTACCCTGAAGACAGTGGGCTTGATTGGGGGGCCTACATCCAGATCCCCTCAGAGCTGTTTTAATGAACCATACCAACTACCAACCAACTAACCTTGTAACCACAAGTGTCTGTAGCCTAGTTGGTAAAGGAAGCACTCTGGTATGTGAGTCAGCAAAACTGAGGTCATGAGTTTGAATCTCACCAGGCACATCCTTTGTTTGTTTTCTCTACATCTTGTGCTGTTCATTTTCTGTGGGATTGTGTGCAATCATAGTAAATTGAAAATCACCACTAAGGACCTCGGCTGTATGAGTCATATGAACAGTTCACACAAGTTGTCCATTGAAAACAGCAAGCAGAGGAAGAGGGTTCAAGGGCATGCCAGGCTGCAAGAACATAAATTATCAACCCATCAATTTCTCTAATTGATGAGTTACACTACGCTACATGTGTAGTGTAACTTAATTTGGTATAAGTTACACTAAGTGTCAGCTTCAAATCATCTGCACTATCTGAAAGTCAAAATTTTGTTAGCTCAAAAAAAGTTACACTACCTGTTAGTTTATCTGTGATTATTTGAAGCTAACACTAAAAAAATTGAGAGAAAAATTCACACTATGCTAGCAGTTAGCTCAGCAGGGTTTTGTTGATGTGAACTGGAGCCGACAGGATTGGAAAGGATGATGGTTCAACTCAACATCAAGAGAAAAAGAAACTAACCTGCAGCCAACAGGATTGGAAAGGATGAAGAAAGAGGAATCCTTTCCTGCACTGTTGACTCCAGTATAAGAGCAAATGAAAAACAAGACACATGTCACATATTGTGACATGTGAGAGATGAAACACAGGAAGAAGCAGGACAACCAATGTAGATATAATAGTGAGATGAACCGGTAACATGTATAGCTCAATACCCCCCCTTGCTGATGACTGAGTTCTAATGAGAGGAAAGAAAAGGAAAAAATAGACTCATAGGGAGAGAGAAGAAATATTAGACTAGTCCAAACATGAGGCAGTGTTTCTCAAGCAATACACGGGGTAGAGGTTTGGTAAGAATATCGGCTAACATGTCATGAGTGGGGAAATGTACAATTTGGAAGATGTCGTCTTTCACACAGTTGCGGACAAAATGATATCTTGCATCAATGTGTTTGGTCCTGGAGTGGTGTTCTGGGTTATTGGCAAGCGCTTCTGCCCCTTTGTTGTCAACGTGGAGTGGAAGTGCCAATTTTGGCCGGATACAGAGTTCCGTGAGAATGTTGTGGAGCCAAAGAACTTCTTTGCATGAATCTGCTAATGCTTTGTATTCCGCTTCAGTGCTGGAAAGAGAAACGGTGGCCTGCTTGCAAGACTTCCAAGAGATTGCACCATCTCCAAATGGGTAAGTATAGGCAGATGTTGACCTACGATCTTGCCAATCTTCAGCCCAGTAAGCATCTGAGTAACCTGCGCAGGTGAGAGATCCACCAAGACGCAGACGAAGTTTCTTTGTGGAAGCCAGGTAGTTCAGAATTTTGACTGCAGCAGACCAATGAGATGCGGAGGGATCACGGAGAAATTGAGAAAGTTTGTTTACAGCAAAGGAGACATTGGGTCGTGTGCACTGGGAAATCCATAACAGGGATCCAATGAGTTGATTTTAAGGACTGGGAGAAGAATCTTCACTTGGGGAGCGCTTGACAAGATCCTTAAAGTACGAGGAAGTCGGGGTCCTCGTGGCGGTGTGTTAACCATCAAGAAATCAATTAACCATGTCATCAATGTAGTGAGACTGCAACATATAAATCAGACGTTTATCCAGATCTCAAGTGAAATTGATGGGCAGGAAATGATGAAGCTCTTCATCAGCGCCAATCTTGAATTTGGTTCCAAGGTCGCATATGATGGAGTCTACAAAGTGAGGTTTGCCGACAACTGAAAGATCGTCAACGTGAACTGTGATGGCACCTTGAAGCTTTCTGTCAGCAATCTTGAAGTACAGAGTAGGGTTGTATTTAGACTGAGATAGATGACAGCTGATGAGAGCCGAATGGAGTTCTTGGTTCCATGCCCAAGGGGCCTGCTTTAGTCCATAGATGGAACAACAAACTTCACAGACAAAATCAGGATGAGCAGGAACCTCAAAACCAGGGGGTTGTTCCATGAAAATGGGTTCATCCAGGCGACCATTGAGGAAAGCTGTTTTGAAATCAACTTGACGCCCCTTCCCAGGATTTAGATGCCAGGAGACTGCAGATTAGGCAGAGAGTGGGTGCGAAAACTTCCTGATAATCAACTCCACAAACTTGGGGAATAGCCCATGGCTACCAAACGCGCTTTCAATTTGAGAATTGATTTGTCAGAGCGCCGTTTGATCTTAAAACCCCCCCCCCCTGATTTTTTGCCCAAACTGGTTAAAATAACCACTTGGACAAGCCGGTCCAATGAGTCATTGGGCTGGCCTGTCCGAGCGGTTCTTGGATCTGGCCATCCAACTCAGGATGCAAGTGGGCCGGGGCAGCCCGGCGGGTACCCTAGACCCTCCGGGTAGTGGGGCGGGCTTGGACATGTACTGGGCAAAAAGCAACCCAGCCCAAGAATAACCCAACGGGTCAGCGGGGCGGGTATGGACCTCCCAGCTTGTGCTTGGGTTGGCCCGTATTATGCCCACTGACCCGACCATATGGTCCTAGTAGTAGACTGTACTAGTGATTCTCGTAGACAGCTCAAGCCAGAGATGCTTGAGGCTCTTGACTGTGGCCAGGATTGGATCCGGCACGACAAGGGCCTCAACAACCCTGAAGAAAATGAGGAAGACAATGATGAAGTTGAACTTATTGACTGAGATTGCAAATCAACCTTCCATTTTCTTCTGCATTTTATTTCTTTTTATACACGTGATGCCTGAGCCCTCTTTTCTTTTATCTGATTGTCTTTTATGTTTATACACGAACGAAATGTTTTCTTTTATCTGATCATCTTTTATATTTATACACGAACGAAATGCCAAATATACACGATCAGTCTGTTCTACCCTTATAAATATGTTTCTTACAGTATATACACACAACGACTCAAGAGAAATGAAACGGATTGGGATTGCAGTGCTGTATTTGCTTGGGTCAGACACGACCCGCCCCGGACCCGCCCCGGACCCGCCCTGGACCCGCCCCGGACCCGGCTGCCTTGTCATTGGGGCAGGTTTGGACAACTTATTTTCAAATCTGACCCGACCCATCGTATTGCGCGGGGCGGGTTTGGGCACTGTTTTTCGGCCCGAACCCAGCCCACTTGCACCCTGACATCCAACAAGAGCTTGGACTCAGGGGAGTGATAATCACACTCCACCCCCCTTCGCACACACACTCCAACACTCCCTTCTCTGAAGGGAGTGTGGGACCGCACTCCAATTGAAATTGGAGTGCGGGTCCGCACTCCAACCCTCTGCGCGGACATTCCCCCAGCAGGTTGGCGTGCAGGTCCGCACGCCAATTTCGATTGGCGTGCGATGCTGCACGCCAGGTTGCCTCGCTTGCAGGCAGGCGTGCAGCCAGCGATTCCATATGCCTTGACCTAAACCCATATTCATATGGGTTTAGGTCGAGGCATATCCCATAGGACCCAGGGATGGGTCCTATGGACAGTCTGACCGGTTCAAACCTTGAACCGACATGGGTTCAAGGTTTGAACCCTGACGGCCATCGGCCAAGGTTCAAACCTTGGCCGATGGCCTTGAAGATCCCTGTAGGACCCAGGCCTGGGTCCTACAGGGATTCGCTTTGTTTGAACCCTGACGGCCCATGGTCCAGCTCATCGGGAGGAAACCCTCCCGATGAGCTGGGTTTAAGTCCAGGACATCGGGAGGGTTTCCTCCCGACGAGCTGAACTGAACACCCTTTCAGCGGGAGGGATTCCTGCCGACGAGAGTTTCCTGACACCCTCTCGTCGGGAGGGATTCCTCTCAACGAGATGGGTTGGACACCCTCTCGTCGGGAGGAATTCCTCCCAACAAGATGGGTTGGACCCTCCCCGCCCCAAGACTGTACAATCTTTTGGGGCTGGGAGCCCCATGTCCTTTCTTTTCTTTTTTCAACGGCCTCAATGGGTCAAGCCCTGGGCTATCCCTTAATATCTAGGCCTGGTTCCTATGGGATAGCCCATGTAATCTGCACATATGTATAAAGTATACACATGCACACTCCCATACTCCCCTCAGAAGGGGAGTGTGGGAGTGTGCATGTGACTCATTTGTACATATGAACTGGTCGCTTGGGTTCTACCCTGGTGCGCATGTTAGGGGATAGTGCGAGAGTCCAGCAGTTCAGCCGGGTTGACCAGATCGGAACAAAGATCGAGCGTATCTGGGCCTCCTATGTTGTAACGTCTGTAGAGCCCTGGGGGGCGCAACCCTTCTCCCTATCATGTATCGTAGGAATACCAGAGGGAGTGAGACTCTTACTACCCATCAGGACTCCCGGCAATACATCCCCGACGAGAAGCCTCTACCACTCGACCAGGGTATAGCTGGATTCCCTAACGAACGATT